GAATATTTTTTCTGGGAGAGTATCCTTATTCATAATAAGATTATTGATCCTTTATCATCTGTTCTAAGGCAGAAAGCCATACATGTAGGATTTAAAGCTCTAGGCACTTTTTATCTCATATCAATAAAATTTGCAATCTCTATCCTGAAGGGATAAAGCAGAGAGTAAAACACAAACAAGAAATGCTAACGGTTAAATCCAAGGACCTTAGTTTGACTATTTCTGTTTGATACTTTAGGAAACAGAGACATAGGTGTAAAGCAACTTGCACAAAGGTATCCATCCAGGCAGTGATTTAGTAGGAATTAGAATTCAGGTCTGCAACGTGGCTGGGGAAGTTTTCGGCCAGGCTGCCTCTCCCGTCCCTGCCGTAATAAACGTAGCAGGGTACTGATGTTGGGAAAAGCAATGGTTTGACAAAGCAAAAAGCAGAAGCAGCATAGCTGACTAGCCCCTAGCTGTTACAAAGAGCACTGGACAGAGTAGCAGGACTACAGCGACTTCATCTCCTTCAATCTGAGCTACTGCTGGAGATGATTTTAAACTTTCTTTGTCTACTACATGCTGTCTCAGGGTGTGCTCTTCCCTCTTATCTCTTCTTTCTCTTATTCCTTTTCCATCTAGTGCCTGAGAAGTGTCCTAAGGGTTTGACAGTTTCTATTTAATCATTTCATCCTTCTGTATGGAAGGCTGCTGAGCACCATACAGTGAAGTTACTACCAGGCTGGAATTGCTGAATATCTGCCTGCCCTCTTATCTGCTTTGGTGCCAGACTCTTGTTAACTCGCTCCCCCCCACCCTCTCACCCTCTTGTCTCTGATGCTGTAACAAATAAAAATTTCCAAATCGCTCCCTCTGCTGGAGGGGGCGGGCGGGGAACAGAGAAGGCTGCATTTTACCAACACACACACACAAAAAAAGAAGAGAAAGATTGTTTCCCAAGTTTTTCTTCTGGCTTGTGGTGTACCTAAGACTACATTCATTAAAACCAGCACTAGATTACAGAGGGGGAGAAGGACTAGCCGACAACCATTTTATTTAGCCTTGGAGGACACGGTTCAACTCCCAGCTTGCTGACTTTCAGAACTCTCAATCTATTATGAGACTACAAAAGACTGGTTATACTTTCTGTCTTCCATAAAACCAGACTCTTTAAATAAATAAATTCACTAATGTCTGGCCAAACACTCAGATGTGATGAAATTTCCAACTTTTGGTTGTCCTATCATTTCCATAAAACAAAGCAGGGACCAAGCATTGGTTAAAGACACAAGTTAAAAATTATTGCCACTCATCAACTCAAGTCAGTTTGTTCCCAGCTAAGGTTTGTGAGTAATTTATTTTTCCATTAGGGATCCGAACCTTAGTAATTCTATGAATTATTCACAAAGAAACCAAAGTTCATTGTGGAATTCCTGGATGAATCAAAACATTTCCATGTCTTTTTCTAATATCACCAAGCACTCAAGTCCTGTGTGAAAGGTATTAAGCCAACACTGGGCAAAGCAGAGCATGAGCATGGACGTGCCTGCCTCACCAGCACCTGCCCATGGTGGATGCAGGTGAACGACATCTCTTTCATCAAGCACTCTGATTGCCTGAGGGTACCAGTGTGTACACACACGTAACTATTAAAAAGATGACACACTAACATCATACCTTCTGTAGACCCATGGCAACTCTTCTGTGCACTCATATTCCACGTGTCTCTCAAAAATGACAGTAGCTTTTTTGTGAATACTCCCTTCTGTCAAGACAGACAGAAACCAATATATCTAGCCAAAACCATGGGAGGAAATGGGCACTAAGGGCAGGTTGTGGAAAGGTATCTAACTGTAATCTGATGTACAGATTTTTGCTCCCATAGCACGTATGCATATCTGTAGGTATAGACATTCATGGGGTATTTCGCAGAAACATCCAGACACCTGGAAAAGCAGCAGTGCTGTATCTCCTTTTCTGTCACTAGACCCTGCAAAAGATTCTGTGATCAGAGAGCAACAGTAAGTTGGCTGATGATGTTGAGGAACCATGTATCTTCTCATATGGTAGTCATGGCCACCCTTTGATATGCAGATCTAATACGCTTCTGGCAGAAGAGTAAGAGAATATTCCCTTCAGATTCAAAAAGCAGAGTTAAATAATAAGTGGTATTCTGACAGCCACTGACTATGCTATGGACACAGGACAGATCAGTAAGGTCAGCTGAAATCTTCCCAC